AGCAAGGAATCGCTGAAATTGACGGACAAAAATCAAATCTGTCGACAAAGCAACTAGACGGAGGAACTGGTGAAACAACTCTTGAAGTCAGATCTTTTCAATTTGGCCGATCCTCACAGATTGAACAGCAATTTGGACGGCCTTCGCTGGGACTGGCGCGATCGGCTGGGTCTGCTCAACGAACGCTGGGATGGATCTGCTGGGTGTGCTGGACGGGCAAATCTACTGGATCGGCAGGATCGCTGGAGCAGACAGACGGATCTCCTGGGCGAACGGAACTGACGGACGGACAGATCTGCCGGACGGACGGATGGATCTGCCGGAAGGACGGACGGAACTGCCGGGAACTTTGGGGATGACTGTTGCCGGACGGACGGATCTACTGGGACGGAACTTCTGACGGACAGAGCTGCTGAGGAAGGCGGACGGCCGGACGGCGCTTGACAGACGACGTCTGTGACTTAACAGGATTGCGATGATGGAACGATATCCCTAGGAAATTGCTCCAATTACATGTAGAAACTATTGGACGTGAAACTTGCGTTTTCCATTAGTCACACGAAGTATATATACATGACGGAGTATACTAGCTACGGGCCCATAATGTACATAGCCCAATACATGATAAACGAATATTTACAAAATATACTACGCTAACACAAACTTTAGCCACAACTTAATTAAAATAACATTGTGCATTAATATGAGAATAGTTTCATTAGACTTATTTTATAGAAAATTTTTTTAAAAATATTTTATTGTATTAATATGAAATACACTTTTTTTATGCAATTTATGATTAAAGTTTGTCCAATACAACTCAAAAAAACTAAATTGGACTAATAGATGCAGAACAAGCCAAGAAAAACTGCTAGGCTTGTGGCCGGCCGTTCCCTGACGGGTTGCTTTCGGAGGTGTTAGCGGCTGCGGCGGCCGCACTGACGACATTGCCGCTGCAGTTTGTCTGCGGACTGCTAACGAAGGTAGAGATGGCCGCGGCCAGGGCGGCGGTGAAGCTGGGATCCACGGCGGCGGGGCTGCTGACGTCATGATGATGAGCAAACGGATTGGGGTGACGCAAGTGTGGAGGCGTGCTAGTATTACTATAATTACCATTATAATTCGACGTTTGTAGCCCTGAAAACTTGGAGTGGTTGTAAATATAGTAATTGTGAGGGGCGGAGGCATAATTATGCAGACTCTGAGGGGGGTTTGAGAAAGGGAGTTGTGTGGTAGGGGGTCTCGGGTAATTATTATTATTGTGAGCGAGGTCCAATGTGATGGTGGGGAAAGGGGCAGACGCTGAAATTGTTGCCAAACCGGCCGCACTCCCTCCCGTAGGGCAGGGCAGAATTGCCCTCCCCAAAAAGTTAGGACTGTTCATCATCATTAACACGTCAGCACTCGGCATCGCACCCGAGAGCAGCATGCTCGCGGCGGCCGAGGTGGTGGACGCCATCGCCACGGCCGCCGGGGGCAGCGGGTGGTTGTGGGTCCCTTCATAGGTTGTGACCAAGATGGCATTGTCATCAGCACACCTTTGTACCTACACAATTCAAAATAAGCATTTTGTTTGATTAAGTTGTCTAATCACACAAGTTAGGGCTAATCAATAATGTTAATGAGTAACAAAAATAAAAATAAAGGAGTAGATAACAAGTCAAAGGAAAAAAACATTGATTTAATTATTAGTAAAAAAATCCCAATCCGTCGAGTTAATTAATCTGGATCATCCGGTACGTCAATTTTGGTTATTTTGACCAATTTTATGCTGTTTCGGATTTGCTTATTAATTAGACCAAACTAGATCAATAAGTGTCTTTACAGGATATTCCTAGATAATGATTTTTTGTGCACGTCTATAGAACACGTGGTTTATGTAAAGAGTCAAAGTGGTTGTGACTGTAGCATGATCCATATATATTTTATGTTGTGCGAGAACGAAATACTGAAGGTATACGAGAAATAGGTGTAGCGAAACGTACTTGTTTGCGAACGGGACAACCGCAGGCCATGGTGCATCTATAGTAAGCTCGGGGAGAAGGGTTTCCCTTGGCCATTTTCTGTCCATATTTCCTCCATTGACATCCATCACCAATCTGCACCAACCACATATATTCACATGTACACCAAATATATATCCCTCGTCCACAAATAAAGTTCTCATTGCGCGTTGCGATGTTTGACTGAAATTATTTTCAGATCATTTTATACAAAAAATCGTAACAAATTTAAAAATATAAATTACATATTTAAAAACTACGTAGTACATATTATGACTATACTATTTTATCAAATAGGGCACGAAAAAACTTCATATGTTAAATAAAATGAATTGAAAAAACTTCATATTTTACCTCGTAAATCGAAATGTGGCAAATTAATATAGGGACGGAGGGAGTATATGTTTAGGAGCTATTTATTACATATATATGCATTTACCTAGTAAAGTCAATGTATATATAGGATTGGTGAATAAATATCCTTAACTACCAATGCAAGCAAGGTAGGCTCAGCTCCTTAAAATGGCATGGTATATCATATACTTCCTCCGTCCCAAAAAGAATGTTACGTTTCATTTTTTGCGCATCCCTTAAAACACTTTTATATCGTCTCAAATGCCAAAAAAACTTTCAAAACAATTTCATCTTATAATAAAGAGTAAATATGGTAAATTTTAGAATTTTTAGATGTGAGTAGCCGTGCTTTTTGTGATGCGCAAAAAAATGAAATGTAACATTCTTTTTGGGACGGAGGGAGTATATGCATTTGGTCAATTTGTTATATGACCAAAGGAGACTAATAAATAATGATGAACNTATATATATATATATATATATATATATATATATATATATATATATATATATATATATATATATATATATATATATATATATATATATATATACCATGGAGGCTTCCGATCGGGCCCGGACGGAGACGCGAGCTTTCCTCATCATTGGTGTTGCCTCGGAAGCTTCGGACAACGGGTCCGAAGGATTCAAATTGTTATTATTATTATTATTATTATTATCATCATCATCATCATCGTTGTTGTTGTTGTTGTTATTACTACTCGTGTTATTATTATCATGATCATCGGGTGATCCAGAAATACGATATGTTGTTTGATCTTCGTCGTCCTCTTCTGATCCACACTTTCCCAACTCCAAGAATTGTCTTGTTTCCTCTAATTTTCTACCCCGAACCTGAATTCAATAAAAAAAACACAACATATGATTGAATAATTGTTTTACTCAAATAATACTTTTCCCTCCGTCCCAAAAAGATCTTCATTTCTCATTTATTGTAAGTAGAAGTTGTTTTGAAAGTTTTTTTTGCATTTGAGGCGGGATAGAAGTGTTTTATGAGACGCGCAAAAAATGAAACAGGAAGATCTTTTTAGGACGAAGGGATAGTAATTAAGAAGAATATGAGAGAGTATGTATACAAATATCAGACCTAAAAGTTACCAAGCATATAATAAAAAATGTTAAATGATACGGAGTAGAAACTAATTTACTACCTAAAACAAAGACTATCTAAAATAAATAAATAAATATATTATATTTATTATTATTCATGCAATTTGGAAAGTAGAGTTAATTGTTCATGCAATTCCAACCAAAAAGGCGAAACTAAGAAAAAGTCAAATGTGATGAATCTAATCAAATCAACACTAATTAAATGGGACATGTAATTTGAAAGTCAAAATTAATACAATCCATAAATTGTTGTTTGGAAATAATAATAATAATAATAATAATAATAATAATAATAATAATAATATAATTTGGTAAAACCATTCACATTAGGTTAGACGACCACCCTATACCAATGATCCAAAAAGAGGATGCAATCTACAAATCATGAGAATAAAAGTAATCATTCGTTTTTTTTCCAATTATTTGGTTCCCTCTACCTAATACGGAGTAAAAATTTCTTTTCATTATCTTTTCTTTTCGATCTGCATGTAAAACTTTTACTACAACATACTTCTTCCGTCCCCATTTTGATTACAAATTGTGTGTTACGAGAAAAAAAGTTCACTTTTTGAAATTATTTTATTTATAAATTGATATATCAATAATGAATAAAAATTACATATTAAAAAACTATGTCAAAACTCAAAAGTTCTACTTCACAAAACAAGATGTGATAAAAATATTTTATTTTATCAAATACTTAATGAAATTGCGTAAATAAACAAAAGTTGTCGAGAAGAGAAAAAAAATTGTAATCAAAATGGGGACGGAGGGAGTATAAAAATTATATTCTATTATACTCTCTCCGTCTCCGAAAGAGTTTCTCTTATTGACTTTTTGGGAAATTAAGAGAGAGATATTTTGGTGTTGACTTTCCAGAAAAACACTTGATGTGATAGATAGATTATTAGTAAAAAAAAAGGATGTGATAGGTAGGGTAAGAAAAAATGAGAGATAAAAGTGGTTTTTAATAAATAAGAGAAGGAGTTAGTTGGACAAGAAAAAAAAGAAAGGGGACGGAGTTTAAGGAACGGGGAGTAATATAAATTTAATATCAATAAAATTATTCGTTTAAAACGTAAAAACGGAGTATATTTGCATTAAGAATTGTAAAAAGTTAAATTAGATCTGATTTTTTTTAAAAGAATGGGATATAGTAATATTTCTAGGGTTTGCTAAACAAATATTCCCTCCGTCTGAGTATATTTGTCCAGTTTGATTTTTTCAAGTCAAACAGGATGAACTTTGAACTTCAATTAAACAAAAATAGTACTCCGTAATATATGTGTGTGTGTGTGTGTGTCCAAAACTACTTTTCTAGATATATCTAGTTGGAATTTTCAAAATTTTATTTTGTTGTACTAATAAGTAATACCAATTGAGAGTAATTGAAGATCAAAATTTATCCAGTTTGATTTGAAAAACTCAAACTGGACAAATACACTGGGATGAAAGTAGTAGTCTTTTGTCTCAATTTTTTTTTCTTTTCTCCAAAAAATCCTATTTGAACAAATGAAATTAATTTTCCAAATTATTTTATACACCCACACATTTTAATTGATTACCTGGCCTTCTCCAAAATTTTGTTGTTGTTGTTGTTGTTGTTGTTGTTGTTGTTGTTTTTGGTTGTGTAAGAGGGAGAGGAGATGCATTTGAAGGGCTCCATAATAGTTGTTGGCTTGTGAAAGCATTCCTTTCAATCTCTGGTTCTCCTCATTCAACCTTTCCAGCTCTAACTTTAATGCTCTCATCTGATCCAATACATATGAATAAGTAAGGAGTATTTTGATCAATAATAAGTTAAACTTTTCTCTTTTTTTTTGCTATATGTTATTGTCATATAAGTGATTAATTGTTTAAAACATAATAAGCAAAAGTACGTGTGTGGCGTATGTACAACAATTTTCTGCTTAATTGTTTAAAAAGAATGTCACAGTTACTATTTCAGTTTTTCTATAACATTTGGGATAGAGAGAGTATATTTTAAACCAACATACATTTTTATCGATCGGTTTTCAAACCAACATACATTTTTATCGAATGCCGATCGATCTATAAGTTAACTTTAAATTTCATCATATAACATTTCAGAAAACAAATACGTAGACATTTTTATTTGTTCAACACCTTTCTTAAAGTAAAAAGGTGAAATCAAAATGTCAAATTGATTTGGAGACGAATGAATATGCATTAAAATGTTAAAATTAGTTCAAATTAAACTCTTACATTTCTGATCTGATCTATTCTTAAATAAGCATTCATTGTGCTGTGACGTTCTACATATGTACGATGTATATTCAAATTCATCCCATTCTTAATGTATATAAGTAGTCATATATAATGAACAATATAGTTATTGAAAACCATAGGGAGTGTATATGCATAAAAGAGGATTGCGGAGTATTATTTTATATCGGCAAAAGTACGTACCTGTGCCTCATTCGTTGAACGCATTTCTTCCATGTCGGATGGAAGATTGTCATCGTCAACCGTTGATTGATCGCTTCGGGTATTAGTTGCATTAATCACAAGCTCCAAACCCGTCTATATTATATATTATCACTAAATTAAATGCAGCATAAGTGGAATTTATATAAATATTACTAAAATATATTGACTTTCTCAATATATTACCACATGCTTTATTTTCTAATATAGTACCACTAGTTATTGTCTATTAGTCATTATTCAAATAAATGTTTATTGTCAGTGGACATTGTTTAAACTAAATATCCACCATCAGACATTATTCCCGCCACTAAACACTACTAAAGTATTATTTATAAAATAAAAAAAATTTAAATACTATATTAAAAAATGACATATGTTTTAATACTATTTAGTATGGATAATAGTCACAATACTATGGATCTATGATCAACAAGTCACTTATGTTATACTCGTATGAGTAATCTCAATTCTATCATATAATAGCTTATTGCATATAAAATTGGATATAGCTACATCAATCTAATAGTTAAAATATACTCTAATCTTAATTGTAGTTATAGAAAGAAATAAATTGAATTATAAGATCTTTCATTCTATAAAATTTTTACAACAATTTTTTTGGTCAAACTACTAAATAAATACAGTATTACTGAGTATAAAGTTTGAAATATCAAAAAGTTACTCCGTAAATCTTAAAATAAGTTTAATTATATAAAATTAATATACTTTTTTTCACAGTTTGAACTTAACAGTCAAAATTTATAAAATTTGAGATCTAAATAAATTGATTTGTAAAAATAAAAAAATTCTAGAAGAGGGGAAACGCACGTTAACGTCGTTAAAACCGCCGTCGGAGCTCAAGATCTCTCTCTTGACGAGCCGCTTCTTGTCGGAGAAAAAGTCAACTTCACTTAACGGAGCTGCAGGCCGTTTATGGTCAGACACAGCCGACGTTGAGGCGGCCGCCGCCGCTGCATGATCCTCCGCCACCGGCCGGAACATACTGCCGCCACCGCCACCGCCATCGATAAGGTTTTCCTCGGAAAGCTCTACGCTTTCTGATGATCTCTTAAGGGTTAACCCCAATAATCCTCCTTCGTCCATTATTAATGAAAGAAAGAGAAAAAAATGTCTAGTTTGAGAATTATTGTGGGGGAAAAAATAGGAAATAAATAATTTATGTTTTTTTGTGGGTATATATAAATATAAAAAAGCAGGAAATGAAGTTGTTGGGAAGTCTTTGAAAGTTGGAATGTAGTGAGGTATTAAAAGGGAGAGAAGGTGGGGGTTTACGTATTAGAAATACTAATGCATGCAAAAAATATTAAAATAGAACTTTCATATTTTTTTTTCGAAATTGGACTTAACAGGATGGTAATGTGACACTATACATGTGCACTTTACTATACTTTTTGGTAATGTACACGACCATGTTTGGTAATGTAAATGCATTTTAAGTCCTATTTCGAAAATAAAAACATGAATGTCCTATCTTGAAATATTTTCAATGTTTCAGTCCTATTTTAGTTTCTCTCTTTACGTATAGTAGATGAGTTTATTATGGGATGAAATAAAATTCTCTCTTGTCTCAGAGTATTGTTTCAATGTTTCAGTCCTATTTTAGTTTCTCTCTTTACGTATAGTAGATGAGTTTATTATGGGATGAAATAAAATTCTCTCTTGTCTCAGAGTATTGATCTAATTTTCACATTACACATTTGAGTAGGATTATTGAATTTTTATTTATAATTAACTAAAAAATATACTCCGTAAGATATACAGAGTATTGATTAGATAAAAAGAATTTAAAAATATTTTACAAGATAAATCTAATATTACCTTCTCTGTATGTCTTATAAAACATTTTCATTTTGCAAATAAGTGAGATTTATGGAATGGGTACTTTTGGTGTTACATTCTAATTTAAGAAATCTCCCTTTATAGGAGTAAAAAATTTAAAAACAGTTATATGTCAGTGGCACGCTGGTGGTCATCGGCGACTGATGACAATATGGTAATGATAGTGTAGCAGTTGCAATGTGACTACGTGGTGAGTGTGACAATGTAACAATGACAGTGTGAACACTTATTTTGTTCTTAAAGAAATTATGACTCCTATTTTTGATTTTTTATAGTTTTTACTCTTATCTAGTGAGTTCTGATCTCCCTTCCTATTTTTTCCTTACTTTGAGTGCTACAAGTTAGTAGTTATTCATATTATTCTCAACCTTACGATGCATAAAGAGTCAATGTCTTTGCCTCTATTGGTCTCGAACTTTCCCATGAATCCTAAGTTGTGGGCTTCCCACCACTCAAGCAAAGGGATCGGAGAAGTTCTGGTAGGCATGTTAATAATTAATAGAGGTAAAAGAGAGATTTTAATTGAAAGTGAAAGCATTTAGTGGGACGGATGAAAAATGAAAGCTTAAGGTTATTGGATGGAAGGAATAAAATTATTCTTGTACCAATATTTGATAAAAAAAATTATTTAATTAATGATAAAAAGTTTGATTTTAATTATAAAAAATCAAAACTCAATAAATACATACTCAGTCACCAAAATAACACACTGAGTGAGATGAGATAATTGAAAGTCAAAAGATAAGCAGCGTGATGGATGGTGGGTTTGGAGAAGTCACTTTCTTCCCTCCCTAAATTATGTTGTTACTTATAACAACGAACATATAGTAATGATTAACATGTTAAACTCATTTTGTCCAAAAATAAATCATACTCCTTAGCTGTTTATCATGTCCAAATTAGTTTTTAATGGTCAAATAGCTCCAGTGTTCCACGTAATTTAAAAAATTAGTACCACATGCAATTTCTTTTATGTTTTTGAAACTCATTTCTAAAGTCTTCGTGGTTTCAAATCATTGCACTCACACCCACTCTGGTCATTTTTCGGTCATTTTTTGGTAAAGAGGGGCATTGGTACCTAATTTCTAAATCATAGGGGACACTCGTGTTCGATTCTTATTTTTTATTTATTATTTGGGTTTTTCCCTATTTTATATTTTAGTTACCTCTTTATTTCCTTTTCTAGAATTTTTTTAAAATTTATTTCTATTTTTTACAATGTTTTAAAAATTTTAAAATTCTTTTCGTTTGAAAAGAAAATAAAACAAATTAACATGCACTACATCTATCTCAAATTAAACATTTTTACTTTTTTTTAGAACAATTTTTTGGAAAATTCAAAAATAAAATCTCGAATTAAAAAATAAAAATATGGAAAAATGAAATGAAAAAACTAAAATATGCAAAAGAAGAGTCTTATACAAAAAAACTTTAGAATGCCTAAAAGGACCTTAGAATTGGGATGTCCAAAAAGGATATTCATTTTTATTTTTATTTTATTTTGTTTCTTATTTTATCCTCATTTTTTGAAGTTCTCAAAAAATGTTTATACTTTTTTTGGAAAAAAAAATACAAAATTGTTAATTTGTGAGATACAGATGCAGTATATGTTAATGTTTTTTTTAAAAAATAATTTTAATTTTTTAGAACGTTATTAATATAATTTTAAAAAGAAAATAAAAAAATTGATTAATAAAAAAAATAAAGGAAAAAAATAGAAAAAACAAAAAATAAATGAGAAATAAAAATGAGCAGTAGCACCCTCTATAGTTTAAAAAAATATGCACCAATCCCTCTTCTTCACCGGAGAAATTGTCAAAAAATTATGAGAGGAGGTGAGTGCAATATTTAGAATTCATAGAGACTTTAAAAATAAATTTTGAAAACAGGGGGCATTGATGCCTATTTTGCATACCATATAAGATACTGGTGCTATTTGATCATTTTTAGTTTATAATTCTACACAGATGTTTAAATATGTTTAAGGGTTTTAAATATCATATCAAAAACCAGAACAAAAATCTTTTTGGAGATGAAAGGAGTTAACAATAGTACTAAGTGAAATGAAGAACTTAACTAATTAATTAGACATAAGTAGGGATGTAAGCAAAGCACACACACCATGTTTTTCAAATAATTAGTCAAGCAAACTAATACAGTATAAAGTGCACGCATTTAAATTACATGAATTTCGTCAGGTTAACGTAACACAAAAACATTAAGCATATGATTTTTAACGGTTACATTTTATAAAATATAATTTGTGTAAGACGCAAATGTATTAATGTTTTTAGATATAGTATTAGAAATATTATAAGTTCAGTTATTCAAAATAGATGTTGGTTCAACATATAAATTGCAGAGTATCACTATTCAAATATTCGTTTAGAATTCGTTAGCCATTCGAATATTAATCAAATACAAATACAAATCTTATTTTTAAATCGTTTCATATTCGGATTCGTGTTCAAAAAAATAAACAAGTACACATTCAAATATTGTGATATTCGCTTCGATTCGATTCGTTTACAATCCTAGTCATAAGCCATGTTTGATAGCTGATTGTCAATTATTCTGAATGACTGATAAATTTTATAGTTGATTGCCAGTTATTCTGAATGACCGATGAGTTTAACTGATTTAGAGGTTAAACGAGTAAAATTTGAAAATTTGGCACAAATTAATTTATAAACATTACGTAAGGGATGTGCATCACGCGGTTAAACAACTACCCAATAAATTTTTTAATTCTCACGAAACATGTGGCGTAATAGTCTTCCCATCTGTCTAAGTTGACTCCCAGATAAGAATTTAATTGGTACAAAGTTACAAATTTTCATTTCTATTTTGACCATGTCTTTTAAATGTTTAATACTATAAGAATGTCTAATTGGCTTTTCTAAACAAGAAATTTGAAAAATACAAATTTCAGTAATTAGTTTGATTACTTTTCAGAAGAAAAAAAAGTAATTAGTTTGACTATATCTTTTGAATGTTTAAGAATGTTTAATTACTCCGTAATAGAATCCGGTATTTTTCATTATGCTCCATGTGATTACAAGAAAATTTTCTGAGCTTAATAGAAAGAAAGGAAGTAAATATAAATATGGTAAAAATTTACACTATTATAATTCTAGTAGCTATAAGAAAAGTAGTGTAACTATTATAAAAAGAAATTTACTCAAATAAAATTAAACGTTAAAGATATAATAAAAATAAAATTTTTACACCCTCTTTTTTAAAACACTTCATCTTTTATTTTTTACTTTTTTTTAACAAAGCACAATCACTTTTAAATAGAATGACTAATATTTCCAAATAAAGTCATTATATTGTACTCTATTCATTTTGCATTGATATAATAAATTATTTAAATGATGATTTGTCTCTCTTTTCTCTTTGGCGTTAAGGCTATAATTGGAAAGTTAGATTACAAAAATAATTTTGTCAAAAGTCAAAATAAGAATTATTTTCAAAAAATAAGAGTGTTGTAAGACCTCAAATGCTAGCAAATTTTCTAAAATTAATTGGTGTTAAAAGAAACACATATTTTAGCTTTACACAGTGCGTTTAGAATATACAAACATCCACGTCCACGATATTCGATTGTGACTTGACCACATAATCTCGGCCATGGGATAACTAATGCATGACCAACAATTATCTCTTCTGTAATTGCTCAAGCTGGGAATCAAATTCGAGATCTTGGCTCTGATACAACTAATTGTAAGACTAAGTGATGCCAATTCTTTTAAAAACCAGTTAGAAGAAGTGCTTACCCTTAACCTTATAGTGCATTCCGCATACACAAATGTCCACGTCATTCAATTGTAACTTGATATACATAACATCCACCATGGGGCAAATGATGCATACATGGCCAACAAGAGTATATTTTTATCTTCAATAAAAATAATTTGACAATGCAATGGCAAAGAAATAAGTTTCTTTAATTATGCTTTGCGTTGGTAGTTAAGGGCCCATTCGATGACTTTGGAGATATAATATGAAATAGTTCTAAATATAAGAGAAATGATATAAATTTTTAAATATGTAATTAAATTATTTAAAAAAAAATTGGATCGTGATGAAATTAGTAATAGGTAGAGGTGATGACAGATGGCAGTGGTAGCCTATATAAAAACCCCATAATGATAATTTCCAAATTCAATATATATCAAAACCCCATAGAATATTCATAATATCTAAACATATAAAAAAATTAAAAATTATTTTGGCTCCTACTAGACTATAGAAAGATGTTACTACTTACTACTATCATATATGAATATTTGTTCAATTTTAAC